TAATTACCCATAATAATGTATTGATAGCAAGGCATACAAACCGCTGAGGTCTACTAAATGCAGATTATAAATGTCAGGTCAATTTAGTAGTGTTTTTTGAATGAGGGAAGGGGATTATGCATCGTTGTCCTCTCACTGAATTCACAGGCCCAATCATCACAAGGAACTCGTGTGTTGGGAGAGAAGGGTTGGCTCATCCCCAACTCAGCGAGATTTGCAACAGCTTCGCGCTGTACCCTCCGGAAGAGCACACAACGGAAAAGACCTCCCCCGCGGGTCGACTGAACCTTCTCACTAATTCGCTTTTCATCATAATTGTCCGCTAATCTTAACTTTGTAATCATTTTGATGGTTCCGCCTGTTATTTTGTAGAATTGCAGAGATTTACAAGGCATGGAGATGAGCTGTGACCAAGTTAGCTGTGACGCTGTGACCCACGTATACGAAATCTTCCCCCACCTCTCTCCCGGCTGCTTCATTACCGGGCAATAGAAGTATAGTGCTTTGTTCTATCGCCTTTACATTATCTCGCTTGGATATTACTAGAAGTTGGGAAACTGTTGTTAGTAGCAAAGAACTAACTGCAGCTTTCGTATCTTTATATAACCGTAAGCGAAATTAGAAATACAGCAAAAAAACGACGTAATACTAGATACTAAGTTTTGAAATCAGCATGTGTGTTTTAGTAAAAATCAACTGAATAATTTATGGGAAGAAATCTTTTAAAATTTTTGTTTATTACTATTTATATTACTTTAAATATAACTTTCAATACATTCATGAGTAATTTCAGTTGTAGAGGCATTAGAGGTGTTCTATAGGGAATTTGTGGTCGTAATTTTCATTAAACTGTTGCACTTTACTCAATACATACAAACAGAATTACTTGTATACAAATTGCACACCTTATAGCACTATATTTTGCTTATTTATTAAATTTATGATAATCTGTATTATCGTTCTCTAATTAATCAGGGGAACAACTTTTCTCTCTTCAGCTAACATTTCGTCTCCGTCAAATGACGGGTCCAAACTAAAAGTGATACATCCTTTCGTCCCTTTCATTTCATTTCGAGTTCATAATTAGGTGATGACACCTAACAATCGGCGACGAAGCCATTTCTACTTCCCGGTCGAAACATTTTTCTTTGTCGCGCAGAGCGTGTCACAATACTGTTCACACGTAGAGTACTGGCGACAGGCAAGCATCGACTTTCCACTCGCAGCGGCTTCAGCAACGCCAGAGATGAGGGGCGTTTTGTGGCATTGCTTGGAATATTGGCTCAGAAAAGCACGTTTCCTAATTACTCACTGGTGTTTCTATACCCGCAGCAGAACTATTAAATTGGATTAAATTGAGCAGTGAACATTGATATTACCTACCCAGGCAAAGTGCTTTTTATAAATTAATTTGAAATTGTTCTGAAAAAGGTTTTCAACTCATTTACATAGAAAATTTGCATGAAGATTATTGTTCGGCATGTAACGAGGAGAACTTTTGTGAGACTTTTTGTTTCTGTTAAGGGTAAGGGTAAGTGTTGTAAGTGTTAGGCATTTAGAAACTGTAATCACTACTCTTTTGTTGCTTTCGCTCACCTTGAGGACAAGTCAGAGAGCGGATGTTAACATTTCTAATAAATTTCCCAACAGCTACAAAAACTAATAAACCGGAAGAACAAAACATACTTTAGTAAATGGCAAGTCATATTTATTACAGTGAGAACAAATCTGCCAATGACAATGAACTAAATAAAGAGATTATGTTGATGGACTCTCGCACACGTGTAGCTTCTTATCAGATTATGACTCCATAGTTGTTACATCCGGAGCGCGACGAAATGCTTCTTGCACAGAGTTAATTTCACCTTTTCAAAATATTGGTTTCGAAGTAATCTGAAAACTTAGGATGTCGATTGATGTCACTGCAGTGTCTCAGACCGGGAGGTCTTGAATTCGAGGCCCGAAGAGGGTAGGATTTTCGACACTAGCTACATAACTAGCTTGAGCTTAGTCACTGTCTAGAGAATTCAAGTGGCAGGCTGTTCTGATTGGTAGTTTTCCGTGATTTCTCCGACCAACACCAGGCGAACGCCGGAGCAGTACCGTAACAAACTGCCCCGGACCGCACGTGACCTCTCCGACCTCTTTCCTTTCCTATTTCACCCCTTACACACACATTGGTACACACACAGGCACATACAAACAGGCACATACGCGCAGGCACACACAGACGCACACACACACACAGGCACACAGAGACATACACTCTACACTACTAATGTTCTTAGCAGTTGACGCGCCGGTGCCACTAATGAATCAATGGTTCCCCGCTGATGAGCTTCCATTAAGGAGCGTGCGGGTTACGAGGGCGCGGCGGTGCTCGTGGCTGGGGTGGACCGCCCCGCTTACATTTGCCTGCCGGGTCTTACCCTGACTTGCACTTCACTTCCACACACGTCGAGAGAGCAGTGAGGAGCTCAGGGCTTGTCCCGGCTGGGGCAGTTCCCCGCTGTTGGGGGATGTCGCCCTCCAGCTGCGGAAGGTCACCTCTCGCGATAAAACACTACTACGCTTACGGGACAAGTGGCCTTAGCCGTAATCACTAATGACTGAGCTAACGAGCTGCGCCCTTCCGCTAAGGTGGCGGGCGCTGGTCGCGGCGAGGAGGCCGCGCGCGCGGGGCGCGGGGCGAGCGTGACGCCGTTGTGTGTCAGTCAGTGGGCGCGGCCGGGCGCTGCCGCTTGGCGCTGTCCAAGGCGGCGTCTGGCCGGGCCTCGGCCTCGCCTCGCCTGGGCCGGCGGCTGCGCCCCACATGCAGCGGGGGCGGCGCGCTTCCCCAGGTGCACTGCCCCGCGCCGCGCCGCGCCGCGCCGCATTCGAGTCAAGGCCGCCCACGGCCCGCCGGCAGCGGCACGCAAGGAACCGATACGCGTGACAAGGGGCCACTCCAGGAGAGGACTTTTCTTTTTGCTGCTTTCGATCGGATTTATAGGCTGCTTACTTACTACGTGATCGCGCTTCATTAAATATCTTCGCCCTTTATTGTATCCTGTATTATAAAGCATTCTTAGGAGATAAAATAACTCATTATTATATCCCATGTAATAAAGAGCACTGGCGAAGACACCACAATGCCATTAACAGCAAAGGCATGTCGGCCCCAATGTTGCATGAAGTACCAACTGTATACAGTTGAAAATACGTCAAAATGTTAATAAGGAATTATATAAAACGCGCCACACTCATAAATCATGATTTAACTTGCACATAATATATTTTAGTCACTTGACAGATAAATAACTATTCTTTCCACATGAATTATTAAGTAGAAAAAACTACTAGTCAGCAGAATTGGATTACGAGGGTGCGCAGAAGATTCCTTTCTTTAAAAATTTAAGGCAAATGGTTTCTCAAATTTCAACGAATGGTTTAAGAAATGTTTCAAAAATGAAAAATGAAGAACGCCATCACCGTTCAATTTCCCCATATCGCTTTTCTCGAGAGGGCTAGTTGATGGTTAAATTTATCTAAAATAGAGGCAGAGTGTACTGTTGATGGGGTAGAGTGGTTCGCGCATTCAGCTAATCCAGCGCTCCGCGTGTGAGGTTGCAAATCCATCTTGGTAGTGGTTTACGTGAGTGAGGTTCCTCACTCCGCAGACGCAGATGCCGAGAATAGATGAAGTGCCGCGACTTCATAACCAGAGGCGGGATGCAGCTCGTGGAAATGAAGCTTCGGACATGTTGAATTTCATCGGGCAGGCTTGTTATTAATACAACTTTACGAATATTGCAATTGATATGATTGAAATGAATGTAATTTTGATATTGAGAGTTTCTGACGTCTCGTGGCCGAGTGCTACCCTCGGTAGGCGATTCTACACTTTATAATCCACTAGTTTATCATATTTCTAAGGTCAATCATGACTGGAAAGAAATGTCTTTGAAATGTGCAACGGCATTGGAACCAAATTTTCTGTTAAGTGTCATTTTCCACAGTCTTGATCAGGAACTACTTTCGGGAACATTGTTTATGGAGCGATATAAGTATCGTTGTATGCTGTGATATTATGTATCATTATATTCTCTTGGCACGAATTGAATGAAATATTCAAGTACTTTGTATCGACAGTTGTAAAGAGCCGTAAAGTGTCTCTAGTGAGGAAATTTACCGCGATTAAAAACGTTACTCTGTGTTAGTAATGGAATAAGTGCATTTTTCTCTTTCATGTGTTTTGTTTGTGGTGTAAATAAGTTGGTCACAACGTGGAGTTCCTGATTTGAAGTTTAAAAAATTGAATTGATTTGAAGTTTTTGTGATTGATTTGAATTAAAGTTCTACCGCCCGAAACATTTTCAGAACTTAATAATGCTCTAAGAACAGAATGATGTCTACCCTTCTAATTTTATTGAACTTTGGAAATGTTGAACGGGATGAAGAAATAAGACTCTTTTTTTCTTTTAGGTGGACAAAAACTTTTAAAAAAAGTGAATTAACTGTCCGAAATTGGGACTGTGAAAAAAATTATTTTACTGTTTCTTGAAGAAAAATTATTTTTATAATAAGACATAACTCCAAAATATTTCGAATATTTTAAAAATACCCATTATTCCTTTTGTTTAATATTATTGGTGCATAGTGTTTCCAAAACCACATTCCAAAAAAGTGTCGATGGAAACCAAATACAAATAAAAATACCTCAAAGCTGGTTTCTCCTCTTCAAACGAGTTCGATGCGGAGGAGAAACGGCAGCTTTAGTATGGAGCGGAAGGTTTTAAGCTTTAAGATATTTTATCGAGACAACGCTCTTAAACATCGTCACCAATATCGATTCGCACATCGCATAACCACTCAGATGACACATACAATTATTCACTAAGAAAAATATCAATAGATAGATAATACCTATTAAGAGCGCGTGTGTTATGCGTGTTTATTAGTTTATGTTATTGATACACCGTTTGCTTTCTTTGAAGTTTATGTGTTATCTTTTGTTTCAGGCTATTCTTTTCTACACACCGCGGTGGTTGTGGAAGAATTGGGAAGGCGGCAAGATCCACGCCCTCTTGATGGTCCTTGACGTGGGTGTGTGCTCAGAAATAGAGAAGAAGCAGAAGAAGAAGTTGCTTCTTGACTATTTGTGGGAAAATTTGTGTTTTCACAATTGGTGGGCATACCGGTACTATCTCTGCGAGCTTTTATCTCTCTGCAATGTTGTCGGTAAGTTTTATTTTCTTTTTATTACATGCATTCATTATAATAAAAATAATAACTATCGTTACTGGATTTGAAAATAACTTCGTTATTCAGCATGCCTAGATACTCCTCTAATTATCACAAAATTACCATGTTCTTTTTCAATGAAAAGTCGTGGAAAAATACCTAAAAACTCTCTATTTTTGAAATTAAAAAAAATTCAAACGGCTGACATTCTGAAACTACATAATTGAAGATGGAGATTTTTGTCTTACACAAGACTGTTCAAATCTGTAAAAGATATCATGCACAACTTTTTGAATAAGAAAACATGTACTATACGCTTACATTTTGTTTGAAATTATTGCAATTTATAAAAAAAAAAACATTTCCTCAAAAATCGCTCCAATTTTTAAAACGTTTTTGCGCGTAGAACAATGGACGCTTAAAAGAACGACGCAGGTCATATTGTCGTTAAACTCTTCCGAATTTATCGAAAATTGCAAAAGTTAGAAATAATACGAGAAAGTATGTTATGTTGTAGCACCACATGTTTCTATAAATTTTTTGAAAGATTAAAGTAATATTCTAAAGAAAACACTAAACCGATTTTGATTGTTACTTCTGATTTTGGAGTAATTCAAAAAGTTTCAATTTTTTTGTTTCCACTCGTACCAGTAAATTATTCAAGATAAATATTATTTTAAAGACAATTTGTTCCCCACAATAAGTTCTTTAATGAAAGTGTTGTGTTATTATCATTGAAACTTTTAGTCGTTTTCGAGTAATTTTGAGTGAAATGTAGGCAATGTTTAGAACAAAGTTTTATCCAAAGAGGCTTAAATTTCTACTTTAAAGTGATCGGATATGAAAAAATAACTTTTAGATGCCGATATCAGGCCTTTTGAATAAACCTTCAAAAGTTAATAATTATATTTTCTTTTAGTAAGTTAAATGCATTCGATCCTCAAAGAATAGATGAATATAAATATTAACTTCACCCGTGCAATGAAATAACAAAAAATATTTAGCATAAATAAATTAAATGAGTAAAAGTATAACATTTTGGTGTAAGAAAATTAGAAATTTGTTCTCCAAGGAACCACTTACACTCGGATATTGCACCAGAATTTTACCACTTTTCAATAAATTAATATTTGATTTTCCAAACATTAATTTTAATTTAACGAATAGAAAAAGAGGCAGCTAAATATTAGTTTTTCATTTTCAAAGATGAACAGTCCTGAATTTCGAAAATTTCTAATTTTATTGTGTTGGGAATGTAGAGCAGCCAGTAATGGCTATTGGTATGTAGTGTTGAAACCCGAACAACCTTTTATTAGTCCAAAATGATCAAATCAGTCGATCAAATCAAATGTGTATTGTCTGAATATTATTGCGCAAAAATGTTTTAATATTGTCCTGAACTAATAGATTTGACAGTTTGGTCTTTTTCGGACTTGTATTCAGCTTATATAGATTCAGCAGGCGCAAATCATATTAATATTGTTCGTAATACAAACGTCTTGAGCTTTCCTTGCTTTCTTCGCATGTTCTCTTGTAGCATAATCTCTTGCATAACGTCCAATTCCCTATCATTTGCTAATCACTTCTCCTTCTCTTCTCTCGCTCCAGGTAAATTACGAACAAATCTTCCTTCTGAACAGCTTTAGCCAACTTCTCGCACATCTCTCGTGTACTTTAGCTTTCTGTCTGTCTGCCTAATCCTCCATTCAACGCTTTCTCCTTTCTAATCCAAATGACGTATTCTACTATCCATTCGTCTGCTTGCTTCTTCCTTACTTTTCCCTATAAATAGCATATACTTCTTTCCCCCATACTATTGTTTCTCGTCTCTAAAGCATCATATTCGCACAGTTTCCACCTCTTTGCCTCAGTTTCGCTGTAGTACTCCCCTTCTCCATTGCCATACTGGCGTACTATTTCGCTATCTCTAAGTCTTTTCATTTCATTATCGTTTCTCCATCTTCTTCGTCACCCCTTAACCCTCTCTTCTATTTCTCCGCATTATTAGTTTGAGAAATCGCACACCTCGTACGTCCTCTTGCAGTCCTTCTCGTATGTCCACTAATTCCCAGCCTATCCCATTCCTTCTTTCAATGCTCACTTCTCAGGTCAGATGTTCCTGATGGACCGCTTCTTCGACGGCGCCTTCATCACGTTCGGCATCGACGTGCTGCGCTTCATGGAGAGCGACCAGGAGGACCGCTGGGACCCCATGATCTACATCTTCCCTCGCATGACCAAGTGCACCTTCCACAAGTTCGGCGTGTCGGGCGAGGTGGAGCGGCTGGACTCGGTGTGCATCCTGCCGCTGAACGTCGTCAACGAGAAGATCTACGTCTTCCTGTGGTTCTGGTTCCTCATCCTGACGGTGCTGACGGCGGGCTGCGTGCTGTACCGCGTCGTCATCATCGTGAGCCCGCGCATGCGCGTGTACCTGCTGCGCCTGCGCTTCCGGCTGGTGGCGCGCGAGGCCATCGAGACGGTGGTGCGCCGCTCGCGCATGGGCGACTGGTTCCTCTTCTACATGCTGGGCGACAACGTGGACTGCGTCATCTTCCGCGACGTCATGCACGAGCTGGCCCGCGCGCGGCTGGCGCACCACCACCGCGACGGTCCATCGACGCGTAGCGCTCGCTGCGCCTGCTGCCACGCAGGTGAGCCACGCCCGCGCCAGCCAACGTCCAAGCCTTCCTCCCGCTCTCCGCGCTTCTTCCCCGCCCCGCCCAGCCCAGCCCCGACAGTCTGCCACGCGCTCCACAACCGCTCTGTCACTGCCCTGCCCGGCTCTCCCGCCCCCGCACGTCCCCGCCCCACCCCTGTCCCGACCCCACTCCGGCACCGTCCTGCCCCGTCCCGCTCGTTCTGCCACCCCGCTCTGCCTCGGCCTCGCCGGGTCCGCTCCTTCCCGCTCAGCCCAGCCCCTCCCCGCGCGCTCGTCACCGCCCTGCTGTCCATACTCTATCAAATTACATTTGACGCAACTCGTAAAAGGCATTGTGAGGTAGAGCTTTGAATGCAGGGTTTCGTTCAGTCTTTTAGAAATCGGTTAGTCTGACGACAAAACGTTTAGTGTAGACCAGCTTTTTATATTGATTGTTTCTTCACTGAAGCGCCTAAATGGACTCGGACTGTCTCCGATGATGCGGTTCTCGGCTAAGGCAATGGTGTAACCTGACGTCCACATGAATGAAGATAGAATCAATACACGACGAAATGATCTGCAATGCTTGAGTGCGTAGTTCCTATGGAAATTACTGGTAGCTTGACAACCGTCTTTCTAGCTTGTTTGTACAAAAGCGTCTGCTACCTTCTTTATTGAAT